CGCATTAGTCAAAGATCGAACCGCCCGTCCCACTTGGCTACGGTCAATCTGTTCCTTGTGTACCACACGCGACTGCGATCATAGCACATTTTTTCACGAGTCTTCTCCGCTTTTGAGAATGACGTGGGCCCTGTCTATGCTTTAGATGCGTAAGCTGGGAAGTATAGAATGTCAGAAATGGATAAATAAGCGGGTCAATATTGCAGCGACGATAGTTTGCGACTCCCCACAGCGAAATAGTTGGACATTCGGCTTAGTGACCATAGAGCAAGCTCCCATATTTGGTTTCAGCAAATGGCTCCTTCGTAAAGAAACATTCTCACTTAATGGTTAGTATGCCGGTTTGTGGAGTCATAGAAAGCTGAAGATGGTCTGGGACGTGTTCGTATTCGTCAACTTTGAATCATAAGAAACCAATCTGGTGCTAAAGCAACGGTTTCGTAATTTTTGAGCTCATTCACTAACTGTACACTACTGTCTTTATATAACCCACGCACAATGAGTTGATCAGTGAAAAGTGGGCGGTACACCTCAAAGAACAGTTGTCCTACTTCTCATTGGAGCACCAATTTGCATCCGTCCATTACGCCCTTTAATAAGCGCACTTTTGATGTTAGCGAGATCCCTTGATCTATCTGGTTGTTTGGTTAAGATGAACCTTGAATTTAAACTCGTACGAACCTTGAGTTTTCCTTCTCCCCGCCTACTCTTTATCCTTGGAATAACCCCCATGGAATGAACGTGAAATTGTTTTTTAGCGAATAGTTGTTTCGCTTAGATACATATGCATACATATACACTCTGAACGCAGCTGTAACCACTTCTAAGGTACTTGGAAGGGGGAACCAGAACCGTATCTCTCTACTAATAAAGATGTAGGCTCAGTGGAGACTTGTCTTCTTTGCAAGACTATCCATGGGCGACTCTTGGTCACCTGCGCTCTAAGCCTAAGCCTTTCTGGGGAAGGGATACTCGGACGGGGCCGAGAGATCCCTCTCCCTCAATCATGTAGCGCCCTGGAGTCTGCTATGATTTTTCTATTCCAGATGGAGGACGATGCTATAGGACAAGTGTCCGTCAGGTTCAAAGGAGAGAACGGTGATGAGCTTGGTGGTGCTGGAATTCTTCTGCCAACATCCGTCACTTCAAATCAGTTGCAAATTTTGTGTAATCAGTTACTGGAAAGCAGGTAATATTACTTCCTGATTGTTCTTTATCAACGGATTTATGGCGAACCTTAGCCATGTTTTCTTAGTGAGGATCCAGTGCCTATCTCCTTTTACGGAAGATGGGATCGAAATTGTTGGCAGCATTGAGAAAAGCTTAGATAAGATCGACTTCGAAAAGGTTGGTTTACATCAGTGTGTTGAAGATCTTGTGTATTCCGTTAATTTTTACGCTGTATTGTAGACGCTATGCCTCGTTTATCAACCTCAAGCTGTTTTTCGTGTTCAACCAGTGACACGATGCTCGTCAAGTATGCCTGGTCATGGAGAGCCAGTTATTTCTGCTCAGTTCAGTCCTGACGGCAGGTGAATCAGCTGATTTTTCGAAATCTTGCATTTTATCAGAGATTTCTTGCTAGTCTTCGTTAACTTTAAGGAGGTGATTTGACCCTGATATAAGAGGCGAGATGTGTTTCCCCCCAGACAACTCTAACAGCTCGCTCTGCAGGGTCCCCAGGACGAGATGATCATGATGGAAATGAGCCAGTGGACGCGTAGCGCTGGGATATGCTTTCCTTTCTTCTTTCTTTTCCTTATTCTTTCGAAAAGTGCGGAGCCATTCCAGGTTCGAAGTCTCCAAAGCAGCACTAAATGATTTTCCACTGCTTTTCCAGTGGCTATCTGAACGGATCAGACCACCAAAATTCCCTTTAGAGCAGCTCCGAGATTAACGCTAGGAAACTTGCACCATGGTATTGATCTCGTCATTAAAAGTCACTGGAATTTGGATCTCCCCTAGTTCCACTTAAAATCCTTGACTGCGCACTCCAACCATACGTGGTGCTAGCAGTGCTTCTGGTGGGATATTTTCTTTTTGACACAATTGTGGATCGTGTGTCCGTCCAACAAAACAAGATGACATTTACCTCGAACTGAAATATCCCAGTAATTTATGAGTAATTTATTCTGTGCCATGTTTAAATGCCACGCCTACCCCGTCTCAAGGATAGAGAGAGTACCTTAATTCCCTCCGTGCGATTCCTTTTGTGATCAGGGCAAACATCCATCATGGACCTCACAGTGGGGAAGGTCGCATTTGGCTTCTGGCGAGAGGTCGTTTTTCACCTCGGATCCAGCTAAGTTTTTCGTGTTGTTGATTTTTTCGTCTGACGCTTGCCATATCCCTCCCCCGCTGGGCAAGATTTCGCCAAAATTTGATGGGGGTAAAATGGTAGACAGGGAGTGAACAGTGTCGTACCGAGGGGGGGGATCCTATAAAGCAAATTATTTCCGAAAAGCAAGATGTGAACTCAATTTAACTGTTGTGTTTCAGAGGACTCGCTAGCGGATCGGGTGACACAACTGTGAGGATATGGGATATAGACACAGAATTGCCTCTTTTCACTTGCAAAGGGCACAAGAATTGGGTTCTATGCATAGCGTGGTCCCCAGATGCCAAAAAAATCGCCTCCGCATGCAAAAATGGACAGGTACGAATGTTATCGGGCAAGTCGTGTAGCTACTGTGAATGTGTGCTTCATAAGAAACACTGAGCCATAATGACTGAAGCCGAATTGTGGTTGATATCTTTCTGTTCAGATTATGATATGGGATGCAGCTACAGGCATGCAATTAGGGAAAAACTTTGGTGCGGCATAAAGCAGTGGATCACCCATTTGGCCTGGCAACCAATGCATAAGGACCCCAGTTGTAGGTCAGTTTCATCATTTGAGTTACGAGCTGGTTTGAAAGTGCTATTCGAAGTTTTATTCAGGTTTCTCGCGAGTGCTGGTAAGGACGGTAATATTCTCATCTGGGATACCATCAAGGGAACTGTGGAGCGTTCTCTCAGTGGTATGTTTCCGTTGTACCGTCCGTTTGAGTTGCTCGGTTCCTTAGTACTTCACATTTCCAGGTCACACAGCCTGCGTAACAAGCATACGATGGGGCGGTGAAGGACTAATTTATTCAGGATCTCAGGTAAATTCTGCGTACTAATAATACTTTCTTACCAGAAATTCTCCATACTGCGGTGAAGTGTGAAATATCGTTTCGATCATGCATGGAGAAGATTTCAGGTCATGAAGTGTCTTTAAGGAACGGATTGTTGCT